GTAGTGATACTGCCTCGGAAACCCAAGGAGGGGTCGCTATGAGTCAGGGCTGACTCGACGGCACATAACAACAACAACAACAATGCTTCATTCTGTTGTATGTAGGGTTACTATGGGTTAGAGCTGACTCAATGGCACCTAACAACAATACAACAAAGCTGTAATTAAAAAAAAAATTGCAACAAGTATTTGGCCTGTGTATCGCACCTTGTTACTAAATTTGAAAAAAATGTCTGTGGCATGAGTTTCAATTGGAAGAAGGAGTTAGATCTGGCTTGCAGGTTCCCTTAAGAAAGTTTGAGCCATCACAGTTTGCACAGAGAGTAAATACTTGGTTCATACTGTAAAAAAGCAAGGGATTGAGTTAGGAGGCGCCTTACAGCTTTTAAGGCAATGAGAGGAATGGTTTGTATAGCAGGAAAACATTGTTTCCCTGCTTCTGTTCTGGTACTTTACTTACTATCCTGGAGGCTGTGTGTTTATAATACCACTTAGCAATAAGTATGCTTGTAAGTACAAGAGCTATTTCCCTTTGGGAAGAGACATTATGGGAAATTAGCATTCCTTTTTAGTTGGATTTTGGGAATTTGCAAAGTGTTATTTTTTTGAAGAATTTTTATCTTCATTGCCTCTAAGTTCACCCATATAAATTAAGAATTGGAGAAATATCCCATTTGGATTAGATCCAAGATGAGTTCAAGTTCTGTTCAGTTGTCATATTTTACAAGTTTATCTCTTGCCCTGGGATAATGACAAATTATTTCTAAAACTCACTTCCTTATTTTCTATCACTCCCTTCTCCACTCTGAACGTTTAGGTTGTAGAATGACATGGCCTAATGGCCTAAGGAGGTCATAGATGAACCCATTCTTAAAGATTACCACACACATCTTGTCATTGAATAACCAAAGCACATGAGAATGAATTTTGGTGGATTTCCAACCTAGTTGACAGAAACTGGTCATACACTATGGAAAATGTTGCTGCTGCTGATCATTTATTTTCTGAGTGACATTAGTGGGCTTGGAGCAAATGGAAAATGTTCTGATTTTTCACGCAGAGGGTTCATTCTACTGCCTTCATGGTTCTTCATGAGTACTTTATTTGTTCTTGGCTTTTTAAATTTTCCTTTAAAATATTACCTTTAGGTCTTCCCCATTTTTTTTCCTAGTCACCTGAGCAAGATAATGCTTTTTTCTTTGACTCAGGGTCACATTTAAGGCAGTTTGGTAGTGACTAAAGTTATGGGCTCTAGTGCCAGTCTCCCATGTGTTATATTAGCTCTGCAGCTTCCGTCAGGATACTTCGCTTTGCCAAATCTCAGTTTCCTCATATGCAGTATGGAGTTAATGAGAGTATCATTCCAGAGGACTTGCAAGGATTAAATGAGATAATCCATAAAACAGTTACTCAATGTTTATAAAGCACTTGATTTGTGCTTTTTGAGGAAGACCAGCAGCTAGTCTCAGCTCCTATTAGCAAAGCAGTTTTAAGGATGCTTAACTGCTCCTTCAGCAAGGTGCTTATCACTCTGTGCTGCAGTTTCTTCAGCTCCTGTAAGAATTAAATAAAATAATACGTGCATTTGTTATTTTTATAATTACTATTATTATAGTGGGAGCTCTGGTGGCATATGGCTAAGGCATTTGACTGCTAACCAGAGGGCTGGCAGTTCAAACCCACCAGCCACTCCTCGGCAGGAAGATTAAGCAATCTACTTCCGTAGAGATACCGCCTCGGAAACCCAAGGAGGGGTTGCTATGAGTCAAATCGACTTGACAGCAGTAAGTTTGTTTATTATTACTATTAGTACAGTTATACCAGCCATTTTTATCATAAAAGGATAACTTGGCCACACCAGGGATTGGCATATTTTGGGTTGGCAGAGCCTTGTCCTGGGGTTGAGTTGCATGGCCTGCCTCTTGACCTCCCTCTCTTGCTCTTTCAGCAGCGCAGTTGGACAGCATTGGGTTCAGCATAATCAGGAAGTGCATCCACGCTGTGGAAACCAGAGGTAAAGTAATTCAACAGATGGCATTGTTCTCAGAGAAGGTCATGCATCTGGTGAGGAGTCAGACCTGCTACCTGCTGTTTCCTGATTTTTAAGTGACTCATTAACTCCCCAAGTGCCCTAGACTGTGTGTTTCTGCAAGTTCTGTTGCCCCAGGGCAAGAGCTGTCAACTTATTTTGTGTTATTGTCCTCTTTGGCTGTGAAGCCTATGGACCCCTTTTCAGAAGAATGTTTTTAAATGCATTTAATTTTTGTTTTTTAAGGTTTACCAAGGAACCAGTTATTGCAATTCAGTTATCAAAATATTTCTAAAATATTCTAATTGTAATGTATCATCAACTTAGGTGTTTCTTTGTTAATCCACTAAATAACATAAAACATAATGGTAAGTCTAATAACTAACTATAGTTTCTGATTTTTTTGAGCATGTACTACCAAGGCAATTTTTCAACAGCAGTTTTGTTTTTCACTTTAAAAAAAAAGAATGAGAAATAAGAGGTGCAGGGTTAACCAAGGTAGAGGCATAAAAATGGAGCCAAGAGTGAGTCCAAAATAAAAATGCTTCCTCATGAAGTTCACATACTTGCCTGAAGTGGGCCACCTGTTTGTCTCTCAGTTTTTCAGCAGCTAAAACCCAGAGGGAAACCTAATCATTTAAAACAGTTTACAGAATCCGTGGGATAAGCGCAAACAATTTTCCCTGATGCAAAACCAGAAAATACATGCTACAAGTAGTGAAGGAAAAAGAGGATTACCAGTTTGGTCTCTTATCCTCTACCTCTTGTCTCCTCCTGCCTTTAAAATGAAGATGAAAAGGATATGTTTTAACTTTTAAGAAGTTTTCATTAAGCAAAATGGGGAAATGAGACCAGTGTGAGTGAAATACCATTTTAGCACAAATAGTTGAAGGATGTGGGTATTTATTGTAATGCATGTTTGTACACATATATTTACAGTGACCATAGGTTAACAGACATCCCTTACTCTCTGGAGTTTGTTGATAATCGTTCAGGGGAAGCTGGTAAAGGCCCAGGAAGGCACAAACTTGAAAGGAAAAAAAGTAGAGACACTTAAGAAAGGACAAGCCCTTCAAGTTTCCACTGGGTAATAGTTGTATGGCCAAGTAACTTGGGCTCTTCTCTCTTTTTGACCAAGGGTTCCAAACCTGTAAATCATGCAAAATGATGGGCATGATTTTACAGGTCCTTTTTAGCTGTAAGGTCCCAGCACTGTAGATCATTACATTTTCTTCATTAGTTTCCCTTCTCTGTAAGTAAAACCAAAACCAAACTCACTGTTGTCGAGTCAGATCTGACTCATAGTGACCCCTCCTTGGGTTTCTGAGGGGGTATCGCTACAGAAGTAGATTGCCCAAACTTCTTTGTGAGTATTGTTGAGGAAATTGCAGAATCGGCATTTTCCTGAATTTAGTCCAGGAAATTGAGTTTTAGACACTAAGTATTTTATAGTATAGCTCTATGTTTTATTCATTGTCCTGTTCTGTATACTCATCCAGGTGCTAGTGGTATAATAGTAAACAAGGTAGAATCGCTCATTATACTTAAAGTTTACATTCTAGTTGCAAGAAAAACAAACTAGAGACCAGATAAACAAGATAATTTTAGATATTGTTAACTGATATAAAGAACGTAAAACAAAGTAATGGAATTACCAGTAGTGTTGGTTGTTGAAGACTTTAAAGAGACTACATTTACACTGAGACCTATGTGAGGAAAGGATGTGGGAGAAGAGCATTCTACGTATCACCAAGTACAAAGTCTGTGAGGTGGGGCCTAAGCTTGGTATACTGGGGTAACAGGAAGGCCAGGGTAACTAGAGTAGAGTTTAGGGTCTTACAGACCATGGTAAAGAATTTGGATCCTGGTCTACACTCAATGAGAAGCCATTGAAGAATTTTAAGAAAAAAAAGTGATATGAACTGATGCACACTTTTAAGAATGTTACTTTGACCACTGGCTGATGAATGGAATAAGATAGGAAGCAGGAGACTAGTTAGTTGAGAGGCGTCAGATGTGATGAGCCTAGGACTAATAAGAGACATTTCAAACCATTTGGTCTAAATTTTCTCTTTCTGTGTGACTGGTACACTGATGATCTTACTCATGCATTTAAAGAAACTAAAGTACTAAGGTAAATTCACTTTTGATTCTCTGTTTCAGTGTTTGACATTAAACCCATTTTAGTCCATTTGCACATTTCCTTGGGTTGAGTGAAAAAGATTCTCTCTCTCTTTTTTCTTCATAAAGAAGTAGAACGTCTCCATTGCCATGAGACTAGAAGAAGTAGATGGTGCCCAGCTACCATTACTGAACATTTTGATCAAAGATTCTGTAGAAGAATCCTGATGAAAAGGAGGAAAATGTAGAACAGAGTTTCAAATTCTTATGGACTCCAGATGTCCTAGAGCCACAGAGGTTGGATGAACCTCTGAAACTATTGGCCTGAGATAATCTTTAAATCTTAAACTAAGAATATCCCCTGAAGGCTTCTCAAAACCAAAAATTAGTTTAGCTTAACTAGTAAAAAATACCTCCCTTGAGCATTATGCTGTTTTAAAAACTGTCTCTATGGATCAAATTGGTAACAGCAACTTGAAAGATTAGGTAGGAACCTTAGGAGACAGTGAGTTTCTGTTAATTGGGGAGGAATAACTCAGAAAAGAAAGGTAAATATGGGTGCACAACCAAAAGAATGTAATCAGTGTCCCTATTTGATTCATGTAGAAAAGAGTGGAATTGATGTATTTTTTGCTATATATATTAACAAAAAAAAAAAATTAAGTTTTTTTTTTAAAAAAGGGAAGTGCAGTATTTACATTGTAGATGAATGAGTTCTCTAGTTCCTTAGTCTTGGCTAACGTTTCCCCAAATTAAAAATATCCTTACACCTCAATATTTTCATTCTGTAAGATTTTGAGATTTCATTCTGTAATCTTTGTAAGAAAAGATTGTAAAGCCTTTATCCTTCTCTCTTGTATGTATTTTTTATCATGTCTTCTTTTTACTGTTTAAATTAAAAACTGGTTAGATATGATATATATTTTAGAAGTATATATTTTGTATCCTTCTGAACTCTTCAAATACTGCCTTTCGCAAGAGAACATGAAGATTTCTTCCCCCTTTGGTGACTGAACTAATGCAAGGGCTGAAGTTACAGCACATCCCTGAAATCCTAGACAGCTGTACCAAATCCCACTCCATTGCTAAGAGCGGAGCCGAGTGACAGGAGACTTTAATTAGAGCAGCTTTTAGAAGCGCTGAGAAAATGAAAAAGAGTCCATTTGGCTGGGTTGGCCTGACTTGTGTCCTGATGTACCTTTAATTAAATCATCGCTGTTTCTCTTCTCAGGGATCAATGAGCAAGGGCTGTACCGTATTGTGGGGGTCAACTCCAGAGTGCAGAAGTTGCTGAGTATCCTGATGGGTGAGTGTAGCAGTGGCAAGTCCCTGTAGGGACTGTTCTTAACAGTCACCAAGAAATGGGGAATGTTCACGGGATAATGCCCAGAAATCAGCTGCCCTGCTCTCCAGTTGTCATGGCTGCAGGCGTTACTGGAAGAAGTTCTGAGTGGGATTGGACAAAACCAAAAATGCTAGGTCCAAGACACCACACCCTTCTGCTTGTAGACTTGGCCACTGGGTGCAAGTGGCGCTCAATCACTCATGTGACTGCCACACCCTAGTCCATTGTTAATAGTCCCTGACACCTTCTGTCCTATTTTGAGACAGATATTTAGTGGGGTACACCTAGTGTGGAAGGACATCATTCTAGCCTACAGAGAACCTCAGATCTCATGCTCTCTGTTAATGAGAAGGTGTCACGTATCCCCCAGATAAGATGTGTATAAGCAGATAATTTTGTTCCTCCTTGCTTCTAGATTTCAACCTAGTCCTTGTCACTTGAGCAGCAGAACTTCTTTTTCAGTTGATAATATAAATATAAAACCACTATCTCCAAATGTGCAGTATTTGAATCAAAACCCCATGAGCCAATGAGGCAGATTTGCTTAGGCTGCAGATTTCCTATATTGTTAGATATGCATGCACCCAGCCTCAGTGAGTCACATGGATCTAAATGGCAAAGAGATCAGATTTCACAGATCAGTGGCTATCATTCATCCCCACACGAGCCCTAGCGTTTGTCAAGATGGGTTGGCGTTCAGGGTCCCCACACAGTGTTCTGGGCAGAGATGGTTCTCTTGTTAGTATTTGTGATTTCATTTGCCATCCTAATTGCTAAAAATAGCTCATTACCTTTTCATATTTAAGGAAACCCATCTCTCATGTCAACCAGAATGAATGTCTTCTCTGCCTGTTTTTTGAGAGATCAACCTCTTGAGAGCACTAGTACACTAGTCACAGTGAGATCTGTTGTTTGAAACTGTGACTGTTTATGAGATCCTTTTGCATTGAGTTGTGTTTTTGGTTGATATTTTGGATGTGGTTAGCTATTTTTAAAACTAAACTTTTTACTTTGAGTTAGTTATAGATTCACAGAGTTGTAAGAAGTAATTCAGAGACATCCCGTGTATCCTTAACCCAGTATCCTCCAATAGTAATATCTTGCAGAACTATATTACAATATCACAGCCAGAATATTGACATTGATACAAGGTGGAGAACAGCTCCAAGACCACAAAGGTTCCTCATGATCCCCTTTTATGGCCATACCCAGTTGTTCCCTCCATCCCTAATCCCTAATTTGTTCTCCATTTCTATAATTTTGTCACTTAAAGAATATTTATAAATGGTTCACACTTTACATGACCTTTTGGGATTGGCTGGCTTTTTCCACTCAGCTTAATTCTCTGAAGATTTATCCAAAGTGTTGAATGTATTAATAGTTTGTTCCTTTTCATGGTCAAGTAATAATTTCATTATATGGAAATACCATAGTTTAACTTTTCACCCACTGAAGGACATCTATGTTGTTTCTGGTTTGGGCTACTATGAATTAAGTTGTTATGAAAGTTTTTGTGTGACTATAAACTTTAGTTTCTCTAGGATAAATGTCCAAGAGTATGATTGCTAGGTTGTATGGTACCATAGTGCCGAAGGCATTTGACTGCTAACCAGAAAGCTGGCAGTTCAAACCCACCAGCCACTCTTCAGAAGGAAGACTGGGCAAACTACTTCCATAATGATACCTACTGCCTTGGAAACCCAAGGAGAGGTCGCTATGAGTTGGATCTGACTCGATGGCAGGGAGTGAGTACAATGATACGGTTAATTTTTGAGAAATTTTAATGTTAGAAGAGACAGTTATCAGTCCTCAGTCTTTCATTTCTGGCAATACCTGCAAACATTTGTGGTGTATCTAAATTCTGGAAAGGATTGTCAGGTGCTGGAGACTAAACTTTAGAAAGAATTAATGCTTGTCTGTACAGAGTCCTGGTAGTGGAGGAATATGCATGGATATTAAAGCTATAATATAAAACATGATGTGGGTACTTCAAATGAGCAGTATCTGTAAGATTGAATAGTGAAGGTGAATGTAGGAAAGCAGTTTGGATTCAAGGATTATTCCAAGCAATGGTGTAGTAGGAAGAAAACTCTATATAGGCCAGTGATGGCTATACTACAGGATGTTGATTTTATCATTATTAATATTTGAAAGGAGTCAGCCGCAGGAATCCAAGTGAGGGGAGGGAACCCTGGCCATGCCCCACAAGCAGCAAAGTGGGAAAGTGGCAGAAAGGAAAGAAAAAGGCCAGGGGGACCGGGACAGAGTAAGGAGTCAGCTGCAGGCATCCAGGTGAGGGGGGTGGGACGCAGGCCATGCCCCACAAGCGGCAAGGCAGGAAAGCGGGGGAAGGGAGAGAAAAAAGGCCAGGGGAGCCAGGACAGAGCAAGGAGGCAGCAGTAGGAATCCAGGTGAGGGGAGTTTGGAGAGGTTTCCAACAGCTAAGGGAGACAAACTTGTCTGTCAGTTTGTCCTACTGTGGTGACATGTTGCTGTGAGCCTTGAGGCTGTGCCACCAGTGTTTCAAATCCAGCAGGGTACACATGGTGCACAGGTTTCAGTGCAGCTGGCAGACTGAGACAGACTAGCAAGAAGGAAGAGACCATCCACTTCTCAAAGAATTGGCCAGGGAAACCTTATGAATAGCAGAGAAACACTGATACATTACTTCACAACATTATGAATAGTCTGGAAACATTGTCGAATACAGAGGAGGAGGATGAGTCACTTAGGTTAGAAGTCTATCAAAATAGGACCGGGAAAAAGCTGCATCATCAGAGTAAAACCAGCCTTACTTATATGGCTAGGTTAAAGCTTTCGAGACCTCCATTTGGTGACATGGCACGATTCAATTGAGGAGAAACAGCTGCAAACATCTATTAATAATTGGAACATGGAATGTATCAACTTCTACAGTCTGAAATTGACCAAAGAGGCAATCAGGATGTGTTAATTATCACTGGTGACTGGAATGCAAAAGTTGGAAACAAAGAAGAACCACTGGTAGTTGGAAAATTTGGCCTTGGTGACAGAAATAATGCTGGAAATTGCATGGTAAAATTTTGCAAGACCAATGACTTCACTGAAAATACCTTTTTTCAACAACACAAATGGTGGCTGTATACGTGGACTTCACCAGATGGAACACACAGGAATCAGCTTGACCACCTCTGTGTCAAGAGGCAATGGAAAAGCTCAATATCTTCAGCCAAAACCAAGCCAGGAGCTGATTGTGGAACAGATCATCAACTGCTGATTGTGGAACAGACCATCAACTGCTCATA